CAAGCAAATCGATTACGTACCCCATTCTAGTCAAAATGTTTGTTTTGATTCTCTATGAAAGTTTGACAGATAACATGAGGGGTTAGTGGATTTTCCTAGGTTTCGAGGGGTGAATCGATTAGCTTGGGACCGAAGATAGTACCAGAGCTGAGCCAAAAAGTTGAGCTCGTTTCTTCGGGACCTTCTGGTCTTATAGTACGTTCAGACTACAGAGTTATAACATGTTATAGCGCTATCTTGATGGTGGTTTCTGTGTTGCAATTAGTTGACAACTGTTATAACATGTTATAACTCTCCAGTCTGGACAGCATTTAAGTGAATTTGTGGTAAATTTCGATTTATTTTTTTCTTGAAGTATATGAAGCCCATTATTTTGAGAACGCATTTATTTTCAAAGTATTTTATTAAAATAAAATTTGTCTTTAATTGATGCACCATCTATTTCATGATTTCACTAGATCTACTGCCTGTTTTTTCCTCATCCTGGGGTGGAACTGCTTCTAGAAAGATTCACATTTTTTGGGAGCTCGGTATTTTCATTAAGATCACTGATTTATGTATAAGAGAATGAAAACCGAAAATTTATCATCGTTCTATTTTTTTTTTGGTTTTTTTTTTCAATATATATATTTGATTCTCACCATTTTTTTTAGCCATAAACTGATGATCTGGAAGCTTTTAAAAATCCCCCGTTTGCTGAAATAATCTTGTATCTCGTTATTTTAAATTATGAGTAGCCCAAATAATCTGATCCTGCATTCGCTTTTTCATTTCTGGAATAATAATACCGAGAATAAAACTTAAGATTATTTCTGGATTCCAATGAAAGTTAAACACTGGGCTGTCAGGCAATCACAAATCTTCTAACAATGGGAATGCCAATACTTTGTTCTGTCACCATCTTGAACTTGAGAGGTTACGCACAGAATATTTTCACACCATGAGATCACGGAAAATTTACGTGAATTTCACATAACCTTCACCAGCATGACACATGGACCCGACTAGTAAATCCAGTAAATTGCATAACTATGTCGTTGAATTTTACTGGGTGCATGAAAATTTTATTACACTCAAAAAATTCCACACGTCATTATCATGTGTTTCACACTTAATTCTGCGCTTATTGTGAAACACATCCATTTCATGTGTGAATCTTATGCTATGAACCATGCCTGAACACTATGGATTTGAATTGTGACACACTTGGATTCTATGTGCCTCATATGGTGATATCAATAGCTTTGCACTTCATAGTTCACTATTCTACTTTATCGACTTTTACTTTACCGACTCTAAAAATGAATCGACAAATATATAAACAAAACTGCCAGAGGCCAGAGCTTTCACATATCTTTTAAATGGGTCTGATTTGGGATTCGATCATGAACTGTTGGGTTGTGCTGCTACCAGAGTCTTCGTTCGATCCGAGGTTCGATCTCACTGTGCCACGGTTGTTCTCATATATGAGGTGGGTTGATAGGATAAAGTCACAACTCTTGTTTTCGATGTTTACCTTTCTGAGCAAGCCATTCACATCGTATTGAAATGCAAAACACTTTAAATCCATCTGTTTTGAACAGTAGCGTGATTCAATGTGCAATACACTTGAATAGATAGTGAAAGATTTTCAACATTTCAAAGTTTGAAACACTATAAATTAACGTGTATAACACATTGAACCAAGGTGAAATACACTTAAAGTAAATGTGATTCTACATTTAAAAAATCAAGTGTTTAAACACTTCGATCAAACATGTGAAATTTTTTGAGTGTAGATTCTTGTTTTTAAGAAGTCACCTGAATTTTCAGGTAAAATTTACGTTTGTCATTTGTTCAGTGTATATAGCTGGCATATATAACTTTTCTATATAGCTGGCCACCCTGATTAGGCCGTTTCTAGTCTCTTGCTTTTTTTTTTCAATATTGTTGCTACTCACCGAATCCTTCAATTTGTCCCTTTTGGGTTCAATCAATATTCCGTTGCTTCCTCCAGCTTGTACTTCAACGTCTTATTTATGACGGTACGTTCAGACTATAACTGATTTCATGTAATATAGGCTATCTTGCAATGAGCACTCATACATAGGATTTCCAGTGAAAACTAGATGTATGAGTGCTCATTGCAAGATAGCCTATATTACATGATATAAGCCATAGTCTGTACGGGGTATTAGCACAGACAAACAGACATAACACATTGAATATTTATCACTGTAAAACATCGTTGCCAAAACATTACCGCCATCTGTTGAATACTTTGTGGTGGGTAGTACGCTGAACAGATGGCGGTAGTGTGCAAACGTCAAACGCAAGGGAATTGGCTATGCGCGCCACAGGTGGCGGTACTACCAACAATCAATACGAAACTAACGATTTTAAATTGGCTCACCACTTTAGTAGCCTATTGGTCCCAAGCAAACGATTAACGTACCCTATTCTAGTTGAAATTCTATTACTACACTATGTTTGTTTTGATTCGCTATGAAAGTTTGACAGATAACATCAGGGGTGTGTGGATTCATGCAGAACATGCAGGGGTGAGTGAAATAGCTTGGGACTGCTTGGGACCGTTGTTCTGGTACTGAGTGAGCCAAAAATAACAATGATTTTCTTCGGGACCCAGTGGTCTTAGAGTTACCTCTTTGGTACTACCAACTACGATACTTTTAAATTGACCGTTAAATGCTTGTTCGATGAACAACTTGCGAGTGTTATGTCTGTTTGTCTGTGGTATTAGGTTCTTTATGCTTAGGTACTATTATAGATACTATAGATTCCATAGATAAGCAGAGGCACAAAAAGTTTTTTCGACAACCACGAAAACGAAATGCTATTACACACCCATTTTTAATTGTTGGAATTCAGCAATATTTTGCTGGATTTTGCCGAGCTGGAAGTTCAGCAATCCATCCAGCAAAATACTGTTTGCTGGACGACCAGCAATTAGGCCCAAAGTCAAACTGACAGCACTTTGCTGTAAAACCAGCAATGTATACAGATTATCCAGCATAACGTAATGTCAATGATTTTGCTGGAAGAACAGTAATTCTCAATTGTTTAAATTGTTTATAACATTCTTGATAGAATTTTAACTGAAAATTACTTTATTACACTGGTTACTGTATTATAATCGTACAAAACTTTATTATTCTCATATGAAGAGACAATTTTTGAACAAACGATAAAAAACTGGGCTTATTTTGAGCACATTCCATTGGCCATTCTATATTTTTCTTCAGATGAAAAGGCTATAAATAAAGAGAAAATAACCTTTTAAACTTAGTCAACTTAAAGTTAAATATACTTACTCCATGATTAAAATACCATTCATGTAATTCATGGGATGATTCAAAAGTTGTAAACTTCTTAACTCGAAAAATAATAAACTGCAGAGAAGTATGATTGGACTCCGGTCGACTTTGACGTTTCAACCAGATTGCTGTAAAATCCAGTATTTTTTATGGATTACTGGTTGTTCAGCAAGAAATGTTTTTGCTGGAAGCAGTTCAGCAATTAATTTTGCTGGAACTCGATTCAGATTTTTGGTGTGTAGTCAGGGTGGCTAGACCTACCGATTTTTGGGATGCCTACCCGAGCAAAGTCGGTTAACAAAATGAAAGCAAATCCATATTAAAGTTTGCAGTTCCTATCATAATGAAAACTCATTTTGATTTCAATTGTCGCAACATAAGTCTGACATCATACTGTGCTTTCATTATGCAGTCAAGACTTTTAAATCAAAGCAACTTAACTTGAAGTTCTGCTGTTAATTTCTTGTTTAAAATTTGATTTTAGTTTATCTGTCGTTGAACTAACGATTATTGTTTATTTGTTTTGTTTAACACATTTTAGGTCATTCGTGACTACTCTAATAAACAAATACCATAAACGAACTATATCCCGGATGGGTAAACTATTCCACAAATGGGTTGGATGATACCCCGAACACGTCGTTAAGCTCTCTTTTATGGTTATTTTTATTAGGGTAGCCCGAGCTGACATTTGAACTCAAATCTTTCAGCGTGAGAAGCATGGATGCTAACCATTTACAACAGGTCCGTATTCAGTCAAACATTATGAATGCAAAATCAGTAATCAAATTGATTATTCATTGATAGCAGAATTAGTTTTCCGTTTGATTCAACAGTGTAAAATTTTGCTCTCATTTTTGCTGTGTTAACCGTTAAGTCAACCAAAATAAGATCAAATGGAGTATTCAAAATAAGTTACATCATAACAGCAAATTCTGATTTCAATTTGATCTCTAACTTTGCTCGGGTACCGATTCACAGACGAAAGGTTCAAAACTACCGATTTTTTACTTTTCCTACCGAGAATCACAGATTTTTAATAATCTTGAAAAATGTGCAATAACTGTGTTTTGTTTTCCGTGTAGTCAGAATTAGCATAAGAATTATAAATAATACTGATTTCGACACGTTTAAAGCAGAAGAACTGAAGGACAGTGTATTGTTCTGGAGCAGAGTTCCCCCTCCCCCCGCTCACTTAGGTTTCAAGTATCAGCAAAGCCTTCCCGCATAAATGCAAATCATAACTTGACCTTACCAAAAATAGTAAAAAAAATGTATAGTCCCTGCTAAACTTTAACTAAAACGGTTATCGAACTTTACATGAACTTTTGTGTGTTAAAGTTTTAGCCTTATGTATTACGGAGGTTTTTTTTTGAAGTGAACCTTACAAATAATGGGTTGTTAAGAACCATTACCATTCAAAATTCTATGTTACTATATTAGAACCTTTTTACTTATGGTTTGAGAACTTTAATGGTAATGGTTATGGCAGTCTGTAAGGTCCATGGATGGTTTTGTATTCTCGGTCAACTATTTTCAACAGAAGACAATATTAAGGCAACCTATTTTCAACAGAAGACAATAAAAGCAAAAATCTTAAACCACCCCTAGTGTAAGAAAAGGATGCTTCACCAAACCCCTTAAACTCAGTTAAACATCCACTAATCAATCTCCCCCCGTTCACAGGTCATACGAACTGACCCGAAAGGATCGGCTCTACAAGAACATCGAACGGATGCAACACCTGCGCGGTTACAAACACTTTGACATTGTCCCGCAAACGTTCCTGCTGCCCCAGGACTACAAGGAACTCATCGCTGCCCACAACAAATGTCGCGGTCCGTGGATCGTGAAACCGGTTGCTTCCAGCCGGGGTCGTGGCATTTTCATAGTTAATTCGGTGAGTTATTTCAATGTGTTCCCAAGATCATCCTCGACCAACGCTGTGTTCTATCGTTTCAGCCGGATCAGATAGCTTCGTACGAGCAGGTGGTAGTCGCCAAGTACATCACCGATCCGCTCTGCATCGACGGGCACAAGTGCGACATTCGGCTGTACGTGGCAGTGACTTCGTTCGACCCGCTGATCATCTATCTCTACGAGGAAGGTTTGGTTCGACTGGCCACGGTAAAGTACGATCGAGGGGCGGAAAATCTTTGGAATCCCTGCATGCATCTGTGCAACTATAGCATCAACAAGTACCACACGGATTACATCAAGTCGAACAATGCAGGGGACGAAGATGTGGGCCACAAGTGGACATTGAGCGCCTTGCTGAGGCATTTGCGTAGCCAAGGGTGCAATACCGAACAGCTGATGTTGAACATCGAGGATCTGCTCATCAAGGCGATCTTCTCCTGCACGCAGCCGATTGTATCGGCGTGTCGGATGTTCGTTCCACACATCGGAAATTGCTTCGAACTGTATGGGTTTGATATTTTGATAGATGATACGTTGAAACCGTGGCTGCTGGAAATTAATCTTTCGCCTTCGCTTGGCTGTGATACTCCCCTAGATACGAAAGTAAAAGCTTGTTTGCTAACCGATTTGCTTACCATGGTCGGTATTCCGGCCATTAGTCCTCTGCAGAAAGCGTGCTACGATAGCAAAGGGCACAAGATTCGAAATCTTTCGACGCCCTACCGTAGAGTAAACTCGGCAGATTTTGTGCATAGCACTGGGTCGGGTGGGAAAAAGGATGGTTCCCAGCAGGGAGATACTGGCAAGAAGCTTCAAACGACTCTAAGCGCTCTGACGGCTGAAGAGCTGAAGATTATACGCTGTGCCCGGTCACAGTACGAACGACGTGGAGGATTCGTACGAATTTTCCCCACCAGCGATAGTATGACGCGTTACGCGGCCTTCATGGATCCCGTCACGGGTATTCCAACATCGGCCGTCACGTCCTCTGGTAGCGGTACGTATCTGATGATCATTCCGCACAACTACAATCAAATGCTGCACTCACAGATGTTCCCTCAGGGCAGTGATATGGAGAACCGAATTGTGCACCGTATCCAAAAGTACGAACGTGCACTGGAGAGTACGCTTCCGATAACGATCGGCCCGAAGCACACGGCCCCAAAATGTGTCGACGAGGCCAAGCGGCTGAGGTTGCAGATAAGGAAGCTTATCGAAAATGGTCACGAATTGAGTATACTGCAAGCGAGGCGTGCCTTTGGCCTATATCTTGAGTGCATTCTGAAACGACTTTCATCGGAACCGAAGCACAGCCACGAGGAGTTGGTAATGAAGTTTTTGTACCGTGTGGGAGCGCACATGAAAACTCCCTTCTTCTTCCGAAATTTTGGAAACAAAGCCCTAGGCAAGGATCGGGGTGCGATGGTTGCCAAGCAACTGGGTGACTATCTGCATCTGTACAATAAGGAAACGGAGGCCTTCGTCGATACCTTCGATATGGTCGGTATGGTTCCGATCAAACTGTTCGACGATTTCCTGATGCAGGCCAGTGAAGCGGATGTGGAATCGGTGCTAACGCTGCACACGAACCTAACCCAATCGATGCCATTCCTGTACAGTGGATGTTCGTCCAGCGTTCCACCGGCACCGCCCATTCCGGTGGGGGCGCACGGCTTTCTCAAGGCACTGCCCTGTATGGCTCCCGGAGGTGCCAACAAGGAACTTATTCGGCTGGATCCGTACTACAAGAGCAACGAAGCCCGAAGTAGCCGGACCGGGTTAACCACACCCTTTGGTGGCGGTGGTGGCGCTGGGGGACGGTCGGAGTTGCGAGGCGACAAGAGCATGCGGTTGTCGCCGATGAAGAAGAAACCACCGGTCGGAAATATGGTTAAATCCTCGCGGGAGAGGGATCAGCGGTCGAATTGGCTCTACTAGGATGCGTGCTAAATTGTGTTTTCTGTTTTGCTGTATGGAAATTATTGTTCTCATTATTTTTTAGTTGTTATTCTAAAGGTGCTCGTTTTGGTACTTTTTCGTTGTTGTCTGGATGGAATATTGTGCGCATAAAGTATTTGGTGTGAATTTCTGGGGTGTTCAAGTTGTTTATTCATCAAAGATAACAAAACAGATTCAGCACAAAGAAATTTAAAATTATAACTTTGTTCGTTATAAATTAGCTTCGATCGAATACGGGATGCTAGTAGGATGCTTTTCGGGGTACTTCGGCAATGGTTAAGTTTGATCAATCCCGCTCTTCATGTTTCTCAACGTTCCTTGAAGCTCACCTTAGGTCCAGGAACATCAGTTAGAAGTCGACCGGAAGCGGCAGTTCTGTCTGTGGGATCTTTTCATTCCATCATCCTCTTTGACAACCAACTGTGGAGGTGAAACTTGTTGGTTTGGTTATGCCTCTGCAGTGCGTACGGTGGGTGACTAATTTTTAATCAAACTAGAGTTGCTAACTATTTTGCTTTTGTAAATATTCCTACCAGCTAATTAGCATTTACACAGATACATATCATATCATCGCAATCTAATACCTACGCATTTGTTTTACATTTAAAATCCGATTCAAAGTAAATTTGGACGCATTCAAGTGATCATAACTCAAGAATTAAACAACATACAAAAGGGTATTTATTCAGCTTTGAAACGATATATAACAAGTTATTACATTTCACGGTTTCAAACGAACTGTCACACTTTACTTGTGATCGATGCCATCATGATCTGCACAGTCGCTGGTGACACTGTACCGGTGAACTTATTCCACTTTAAACGCATTTGCTGTGCGTCACTGTAACTTCATTACCGCATCCTCGAAGTTTTCGCTTGACAATTGCCCAATATTTTTCGATCGGTCTGAACTAAGGGCAATTCAGAGGATTAATCTCTTTGGCGACGAAATTAACATTGTTTGCAGCATACCATTCTAGTACCTCCTTAGAGTAGTGGCAGCTGGCTAGATCCGGCCAAAACATAACGTTGGGCTTGTGTAAATTTATACCTGGAAGGGACATCCCCACGACCAATTGCCAGGTAAAATTATCGTCCGGGGATTTGTTTATAATCCATTTTGACATATGTTCCGTCATCCATTAAAATACAACCATCAAATTTCGTCAAAACTCGTTCGTATATTAATCGTGCTCGCTTTTTGGCCACTAAATTTTGTTTCAGGGAGCGATTCGGATGTTTACTGGCACAAAAAGACTTATATCCTTCTCTTGAAAGGATGTTACGCACGGTGGAAAAGTTGGAATTGTATTTCTTTGCCAAATCACGTATGGAGACACCTGGGCTGCTTTTCACGTACCTCAACACCTTTCTCCTCAGCTCTTTGTCCCTAGTGCCACTTGTAACGTTTGATTACAAAACTCACCGTTGGCTTTGGGAATTTTAACACTTTTGCTATTTTTGAGGCAGACCACGAAGGGTTCTCTAGATGTTTGTGCACAATTAATTTTCTTTTCGCAAGTTCCATGATCCGTAATTTCGAAAAACTTTCCACCAATTTCTTCGTCAATGAAACATCAACAAATGCCTGTCAAACGTTTTTTGTTCCAACCACCAGGGACGCGGTGGCGTATTAAACCGTGCGTCCAGATTTACTTTGAATCGAGCTAATTGAATGTAACAACGGTGTGCGCTTTCTGTTTTCTCGTACCAACTGTGTTGTTTTACTACGTGCAATCCAAACATGCTCTTACGAAGAAAATAGCGCTGCACTTGATTTTTGTATTAGAATTTGTCAAACTTGAAAGCAACCCTAGAAGTCACATCAAATATTTAAAAAAAAACTGTCCTGTTCGTCCATTGCATAATTTACGAATACTTACATACATAACTTTAGTCGAGACTTTAGTTATCTATTAGACAAAAAAGTTTGCTTTATGCTTTATTTATGTAATTTGAGTTAATTGCTTTTTCTTTACTTATATATGTTGCTGCATCCCATATAAATTCCGATTCAAGTAGAACAGACGAAGCGGAAAATAAGTGATCAGTATTAATTCTCCTCTTCTAGCGTTTAAGTAATTGGACAGCTTGAAAACAAAGGCAAAAAATTAACCATGTGAGAATGCACTTATTTTCTAGTCATTTCTTCTAGTGATAGAAATGTGTAGCATCAAATTGAGGAAACGATAAATATAACATTTAAATCAGCAATTTTGAATCCAAAGAATGCTCTGATGCTTCAACAGAAACGAATGAATCAGAAGACAAACAAACAAAAACCGGAAATAAGTGCTTTTTCTCTCCTTCGCTTGGTTGAAATGCCAGGGTTTTACACGATTTAGATTAGAAATAGACAACTACTAACTAACCCACTAAGCCAGAATATAATACAAAACAGAGAAACAATCGTCACAACCAACTGTGTGAAACGCGCAAATTTACCAAGAACCTTTAACAATACTTGAAATGCACAACATAAAAAAGATTTAAAAAAAAAAGAAAAAAAAAAGAAATCGACACCACTTACTACCGTAGGCCAAAGATTTGGTTTTAGAGAGTAAAAACGTTGAATTATTTTAAGAACCGTGTGCGCAAGGGAAAGGTTAGTTGTTACTTGGAAAATAAAAATCGAATCTAGTCACAAAGTAGCGATTTTATGCAATAACAAAAAAAAACGAAATGCGTTGAAACAAAAAAAAAACAAATCTGAACCGTCAATAATCACTTATTTTCGTTTAACTGTGAGATCCTGCCAGAAATTAAAAAAAAACATAAATTACAAATGATGTTTATTCTGCAAATGAAAATGATAGCGTCGCCGTCAAAGTTTTAAGATTAACAAACACATAACAATATCAATCCGAAGCATATATTTTTGATAGTAGCAGTTGCAGATTTCCAAATACAAACAGTTTCAAAGGTAATCGTAAATATTTATTGAATCGCATAACTTTTAAAAGCTTACATACACATTCATACATATTAAACAGACAAGCGGATTTCACACCTTTCCTCGGCAGTTACAGAAATTATATAAATGCACAGACCGCTTATATTTGCTAAATAGGAACGCTTGGAAAAGCACAAAAAAAAAAAAAAAAGTTCACAAAAATAGAACTTGCACAAGAAAGTAAATCTGACAAAACCATTGAAGCACAAATATAAACTCGAACCGTTCACTTGTTACAGCCTTCGTCCAGCAGAAAATGTCGTTGAAATGTTCTAAAATAGCAATACTCGATAAGCTCTTTCATATAGGTTGCTTTTTAATCGTCGGTGAAGCTTGCAGCAAGCGAAAACAAATACAAATCAACCCGTTTCGCGGCTGGATTTTAAATCGGTTCCGAAATTACCAACTACTACACAGCAATCAGAGTTTTAGCGAACAAGAGCTTCGTAGTGAAACAGAATAAATAAATTAGTTAAAATTTTATTGTATTGTTGATTTCGTTTTTATCGCTGATATTTTGTTCTTCTCGCGCTTTTTGTGTAATGGGAAACTGACGAGGCTCAATCCCAAACACTTTGGTTTGGTTCTTGCTACTAAATACAAACGCTGTTATATCATCTCCACTAATACGGCTACTGATTAAAAACTTCCGCTTGATACTACTCACTCAGACACAGTGCAAACATGAATTTGAATTTACACGAAAAGAATCCACGGCTTTACAATATGGACTTTGCGTGGTACTTATAAAGAAAAATATGTCGTCAATACTCGATTTCAAGTGAAAACCAATTTCAATAAAATTTACTAATCTGAAAGTTGGGGCCAACGCTGATCGTTTCCTAATATCACAGCCTACTTTGGGTCATCATTCATTCATTTAATCCAGTGGTGCTCATTCAACGACCCGCGCGGGCCACATGCGGCCCGCCGAGTGAGTTTGTGCGGGCGGTCTGTGGAATGTATGCCCGCAAACTGACCGAACATTTCAAAGATGCTTAATGTGTTTTGAAATTTCATGATTCATTGCTTCCGATGGTATACATAAACATAGAGGTAACTCTAAGACTAGTAGGTCCCGAAGAAACGTGCTCAACTTTTTGGCTCAGCTCTGGTACGCTCTTCGGTCCCAAGCTAATCGATTCACCCCTCGAAACAAAGGAAAATCCTCTAACCCCTCATTTTATCTGTCAAACTTTCGTAGCGAATCAAAACAAACATAGTGTAGTACTAGAATTTCGACTAGAATGGGGTACGTTAATCATTTGCTTGGGACCAATAGGCTAGTCAAGTAGTGAGCCAATTTAAAATCGTTAGTTTCGTATTGAAATAATGTGTAATTAGACACTATTATACATTTATTCAACGTAACCTGCTATTGACGTCACCGTTTTTATTTCGGTACCAGTGTCATTTGAACCATCTCTAGACGACTGCCGGTTCGATTTTCGTCGGGCTGATTATAGTTCGATGAATGATGCGCTATTATCAATCGATTGGCAATTTTTGGATTCTGATCAGGATCTGGACGGAGATACGTCAAGTCATCGAAACTCACGTGCCTCTTCAGCGCCCTCCACTGAAGCCTCCTTGGACGAACTGGAGCCTCCGCCAGTTGAAGCGCCGTAGGCGATCTGCACTTCGAACGTATAGTCGGAGTCGTTCGCAGCACTCCAAACATCGCTTTGTAATGGCCAGTAACAAGTACACACGGTATAACCAACAATCAATACGAAACTAACGATTTGAAATTGGCTCACTACTTGACTAGCCTATTGGTCCCAAGCAAACGATTAACGTTCCCCATTCTAGTCAAGATTCTAGTACTACGCAATGTTTGTTTTGATTCGCTATGAAAGTTTGACAGATAAAATGAGGGATGAGTGGATTTTCCTATGTTTCGAGGGGTGAATCGACAAGCTTTGGACCGAAGAGAGTACCAGAGCTGAGCCAAAAAGTTGAGCACGTTATTTCGGGACCTTCTAGTCTTAGAGTTACCTCTATGGTATAACCGTCTATTGTATGCCCGATACGTTGATCGTACGCAGAGAAATTTACGTCTACATCCCAAACAGTTCTGGTCTTTTGTTCGTACTAAACGCAAAGAAGATGGATTGCCAACGTCCATGTATTTCGGCGACCAATTTGCTAGCACAGCCTCTAGTAAATGTGAGATCTTTGCTGAACACTTCAAGAATGTCTTCTCAAATACGCCTGCTACGCCATCGCAGATAGAGGCTGCTGTTCGTGATACGCCGCTAGACAGCATCGACTTTGGAATTTTCCAGATCAGCGAGGAGCATGTCGAAAATGCATTACGTAAGCTCAAACATTCCGTGTCACCCGGTCCTGATGGGATTCCTTCATCTGTGTTGAAAAACTGCTCGAGTTCTCTGATGACACCGTTAGTAAAACTGTTCAATCTCTCGTTCCAACAGCAAAAATTTCCTGCTGGATGGAAAACTTCGTTTCTGTGACCGATTCACAAAAAGGGTGACAAATGTAACGTCGTCAACTACCGTGGAATAACGTCCTTGAGCGCTTGCTCTAAGGTTTTTGAAATAATTGTAAACAACGCTCTCTTTGAAGCCACCAAAAACTACATTTCATGTGCCCAGCATGGATTCTACCCGAAACGATCTGTTACTACTAACCTCACTCAGTTCACCTCACTTTGCATACGCTCTATGGACGCTGGTTCACAAGTGGACGCCGTATACACGGACTTCAAGCCTGCATTCGATCGTGTGAATCATGTTATCCTGTTGCAAAAACTCGAGAAGCTGGGGGTATCTTCCGCGCTTGTTAGCTGTTTTAGATCATATCTGTCTGAAAGATCCGTGAGAGTAAGGATTGGTTCGTCACATTCGGAGCCGTTTATGATTCCTTCTGGTGTACCGCAAGGGAGTAATCTTGGACAGCTGCTCTTCTCATTATTCATCAATGACATTGCCTTTGTGTTGCCACGTAGACAGCGAATATTCTATGCCGACGATGTTAAGATCTTTATGATCATCACGTGCACTGAGGATTGCCTGGAGTTGCAGAGGTTATTAGATTTGTTCGAGGACTGGAGCAAGCGAAACCTACTCGATTTATGCATAGCCAAATGCAACACAATATCATTCAGCAGGAAGCGGCAACCAATCAATTTCAACTACAGCATGTGTGGACAAACTCTCGAGCGCTTGTATCAGGTTAGGGATCTCGGTGTGATATTGGACCGCGAACTCACTTTCCGACCGCATTACGAAGACGTGATTGCAAAAGCCAATAAACAGCTCGGCTTCATGTTTAAGCTTGCTGATGGATTTCGTGATCCTCTCTGCCTGAAGTCCCTTTTCTGTGCACTGGTTCGATCTATTTTGGAATCTTCCGTGCTGGTATGGTGCCCGTACAACAGAAACTGGAT